GGCTGAGACAGAAGAATCGCCTGAGCCCAGGAAATCAAGGCAGTGGTGAGTCATGCTCGTGCCACCGGACTCCAACCTAGGCAATTGAGTGAGACGCCAATTAAAAAAAAATTTTTTTAACGTTGATTACATGTTGACCTGATAGTATTTTGGATCTATTAAGTAAAATATTACTAAGACTAGCAACATTTATTTTTACCTTTTTAAGACTACTGGAAAATTTTGAATTACATGTGTGATTTGCATTGTGTTTCTATTGGACAGCACCTATCTAGACAAAGTGATAGAATAATTGAAATACTTTTGGGGGGAGGAAGAGTTTTGGGGAAAGACTTTTTTTTTTTTGAGTTGGAGTCTCACTCTGTCGCCCAGACTGGAGTGCAGTGGCATACTCCCGGCCACCGCAGCCTTGACCTGCTGGGTTCCAGCTATCCTTTCGCCTCTGTCTTCCAAGTAGCTGGAACTACAGGTGCGTGCTACCACACCCAGCTAATTTTTTATTTATTGTAGAGACGAGGGCTTGCCAAGTTGCCTGGGTGGGTCTTGAACCCGCGGGCTCAGGCAGTCCACTCACCTTGGCCTCCCAAAATGCTGGGATTACAGGCTGAGCCTCCAGCCCGGCCGGGGAAAGACTTTTGGAGTCTTAAAGTATTTATGGCTAGAAACCTCCATTAAGAATGAGTTTATTATTTTTTTTAAAGAAGAAATGACTTTACTATGATTGCCTCATGAAATCTACATGTATATTCTTTTTGTTGGCTGCCATTTAATAATATAATACGGTAAAACATTTTATTTTTATATGGTGTTCTTGAGACATCTTAGTTTTTTATGACTTAACTGGGTAGTATTTGCAGGTTATCCTTTTTTTTTTTTTTTTTTTTCAATCCCCCCCTGCCCATGGATTATTTTTGAGAATGTGTTATTGTTGTTGCAGAAGATAGCTGAAAGAGTAGCTTGGAGAAATAAAATAATGAGTAGCAGATTGCAAACTGTAGGAAGCAGTTATTTCACACATGTAATTCAAAATTTTCCAGTAGTCTTAAAAAGTTTTATTTTGAAGGATAAAGGCTGGCTGTTTTTCTGGAGATGGCCACTACTGTTGGACATAAAATATAAACCATAAGATGGCTAGAGAAATGAATAATTTTAAAAATAGGAAAATATACTACCAATAGCATCATGCCAACTAAGTTTGATTTCTTTAGATGGAATTAAAGTCTGAAACTGAAGATTGTAGGATTTTTCAAATCAGCCCAACTCTGAACAAGGCAAGTGATGACCTCTATCAACAGGATGGAACTCTTAAGGGCCCCTTTCATTTGTGTCACCAAGCAGGTTCTCAATTACTAACTATCAGCTAGCTGTATTCTGGATTTGGGGCTAGTTTGGATAGTACCAGTAAGCCATTGTTGATGCATTTGTTTAACAAGGTGACCAAGAAAACGATTTAAAGCAACCTTGAGCTGCAGATTTTTTACCTCAAAGAGGATTGAAACCTTTTTGCAGTTCTGAAGCAGCAGCTAAAATGTGACATGCTTAAATGCCCACTTCTATTGCTCAAACCACGTAAGGAGGCCAGGTGCAGTAGCTCACACCTGTAATCACAGCACTTTAGGAGAACGAGATGAGAGGATTGCTTGAGCCCAGAAGGTCGAGATCAGCCTGGACAACATAGTGAAACCTCGTCTCTACAAAAAATACAAAAATTAGTTGGGTGTGGTGGCATGTACCAGTAGTCCTGGTACTTGGGAGGCTGAGGCAGGATCACAAGAGTCTAGGAGGTCCAGATTGCAGTGGCCAATGCATTCCAACTTGGGTGGCAGAGTGAAAACCTAACTCAAAAAAACCCCAAAAAACAAAAACAAAAAAACCACACAAATACCTCACATAGGATTTTTAGTGAGTAATTATGTTTTAAAAGTGGAAAAGGAATATAAGGCAAGAAAAATGAGGCATGTGACTTTTGTGAGTTATTACATGTGAACAGAGTGTAGCCCTAACTAGCCAGATGGCTAGTATGTAACGTTGGCATAATGGGCATCAGCTTACACTTTCTGGGACTATCCCAACTTTCAAATACTTTCTCCCATGTGTCTTTTTTTTTTTTTTTTTTTTAATTAAAAAAGCAACTTCTGCAAGCTGCCCACCTGTCAGCATCTCTGTCCTAGTCTCTGCCTTCTCTTCTGCTATGTGGATTAAGTCCTGATTCAGCTACTTTCCTGCTCTGGGATTCTAGCAGTTCTCTCCTGCGTTTTTTTCTGTTGGCTCCTTCCCACTCATTAGCATACAATTGCTGTTATTTCTCCCCTCTTAAAACAGAAAGTCACTCAGAAACCCCCTGTCCCTCCCAGTTGTCCCCTTCAGCTACTGCTCCACTTCTCTGTTCCCCTTTATAACAAAATTATTAGCGTCCAGGCTCTTGCTTCCCATTCTCTTGCAAGCACACCATGGCACAGCAGCTGTTCCTGTCAAGATTGCCAGAAGTCTCTAAGTTGTTGAGTCCAGTCTTGTTTGTTGTAAAACCTCTTAGCAGCTTTTGACCTTACTTGAAAAACTGTGTTACCTGTCAGCAGCATTTGACTTTTTTTCTTTTTTTTTTTGAGACTGGCATGTTCTGTCGCCTAGGCTGAAGTGTAGTACTACAATCATAGCTCACTGTAGCCTCAAATTCCAGGGCTCCAGAAATCCTCCCAGCTCAGCCTCCTGTATAACCGTGACTATGGGCACATGCTGCCATGCCCGACGAAATTTTTAAAAACATTTTTGTAGAGTTAGGGTCTTACTATGTTGCCCAGGCTGGTTTCAAACTCCAGGCCTCCCAGTGTGCTTTGATTACAGATGTGAGCCACTGCACCCGGTCCATTTTACATCTCCACTTGGTTTTTAAACATCTCTCAGCTTACTGGGCAAGGCCTCTATCAGCCTCCTTTGCTGCTTTTTCCTCATCCTTGCAATCTAACATACTGCCCACAGGAGTAGGTTAGAGATCAGGGAAGACTTACAGAGTGTATAGCAGGGGTCCCCAACCCCCTACCAGTCTGTGGCCTGTTGGTACTGGGCTGCACAGCAGTGGGTGAACGAAGCTTCATCTGTATTTACAGCCACTTTGCATCAGTGGCATTACCACCTGAGCTTCCTCTTCTGTCAGATCAGTTGCCTGATGATATGAGGTGGAGCAGAAGTGGTGAGGTTAGAGCTGGGGAGGGGCTGTAAATATAAATTAACTTTAGCTGTGAGGTTTTACTGCACAGAGATCACAATCAATTGCTTGCAGACTCTTATCAGACAATTTCATTATAATTATTTAATTATATATTACAATGTAATAATAGAAATAAGGTACACAATAAATGTAATGTGCTGAGATCATCCCAAACTGCCCCTGTCCCTGCCAGCTGTGGAAAAATTGTCTTCCACGAAATCCGTCTCTGATGCCAAAAAGACTAGGGACCAGTGGTGTATAGTGATTCTGGAACCTGCATTGTGGGGCAAGGAGTGATAATGACACCAGAGACACGGGCAGGGTGCCTCTCTTGGAGAACCTTCCATGGCAGACATGTCCTCCTTGGAGAAATATCAAGCAGAATAGAGAAGAACAGATAACTGTACGTCCTGGAAGGGTCATTTTATATGTTGAAGCTACGTAATCAGCTACTTTGGATTATTGTAGATAGAGGAGCAAATTTATTGGAACCAAAAATTATACTAGAAGAATGTTTTTAGCTCTATTTAGCTGATATTTATGCAAATATTCTTTAACAGATATGTGTAATAAAACCATTAACCCAACTTAATATACTAGAACAGATGCACCAAGAGGCTCCTTTCCACTCAGGAATTTATACACTTATTCCAAAGATGATGTTCTAGAAATATTTTTAAGGAGGTGGGAACCATTACTCATAGACTAGTGTCAGTATAAAAAACTTCATATCCATTCTTTGTTTATTAACTTTGAACAGCTTTAACATTTATCTTCTTCACCAGACTTGGCACTGAATGTCTTTGTTGTTTAAAAAGTTCATGAATTAATAAGTTAATAAAGATACCATCTTTAAAGAGCAAAGTAGGTTGAGTGTGGTGGCTCATGCCTGTACTCCCAGTGGTTTGTGAGGCTGAGGCAGAAGGGTTGCTTGAAACCAGGAGTTCCAGATTAGTCTGGAAAAAAAAAAAATTAGCTGTTCGTGGTGGTGTGTGCCTGTAGTCTCAACTACTTGGGAGGCTGAGGCAGGAAGACCACTTGAGCCCAGGAGTTTGAGGCTGTAGTAAGCTGTGATGACAGAACGAGACACTGTTTCTTAAAACAAACAAACGATAAAAGATAGTACTAAAAGTTCTGAAGACAGTTTCAAAATTTGAATTTCAAAAATATTTTGAACAATGGTGACTTTAGTATACGTGATTTTGACTTTCAAAGTAAATTTTTGGAAGGAACAAAACTCATTTTTTATTAAATCTTTAAAAAAAATTTTATTTTAGAGTTGCAGGGTCCAAGTAGAGATTTACTCTGTAGTAGAACTCTCATCATTTTATTCTTTCCCATGTAATGGCAAAAAATTATAAGGCTGACTTTATTATTACTATTATTATTATGAGTCAGAGTATTACTCTGTTGTCCAGGCTGGAGTGCAGTGGCACGCTCATGGCCACCACAGGCTCGACATGCTGGGCTCAGGTGATCCTTCTACCTCAGATTTCCAAGTAGCTGGAACTACAGGCACGTGCCACCATGCCCAGCTAATTTTTTAAATTTATTGTAGAAACAAGGTCTCACCAAGTTGCCCAGGCTGGTCTCGAACCCCTGGACTCAGGCAGTCTTCTCACCTTCATGTCCCAAAGTGCTAGGATTACAGGCATAAGCCACCACGCCTGGCTGACTGATGACTTTATAATCTACAACTTGAGGCCCTAAAATTGTACCTGGTCTATAATCCCTAGTAGTTTTAGAATGATTCTATTATTTCTTTTGGAGGAAACAGATACATTGTATTTCATAGGTGGTTACGGAGCTACGGCTTTAAATATGAAGCGTGATCCTTTGCACATGAAGATCAAAGGAGAAGAATTTCCTCTGACCCTGGGTCGGGATGTCTCTGGCGTGGTGATGGAATGTGGGCTGGATGTGAAGTACTTCCAGCCTGGAGACGAGGTGAGTTAGGGAAAGCCACCTCTCTCCTGAATATGCACGTTTCATTCTGTTTCTTTTGGAAGCATGTTCTATGCTGTTGACCTTTCTTCTTCTTTGCAACAAGGGTACTGAGGGCTGGAATCTTCATTTTCTTGGTTTCTGCTGTTATATTTTTCACAAGCAGTTCCAAAATAGCTTGACTGAACTTGAATTTTCTGAATAATGCTTATGAGTTGCAAATTAAAATATGCAGGATTGGGACTATTTTTTTTTTTCCTTGAAAGAGCCTTTAAATGACAATTTCTACCTTATGGATTAGATGCATAATGTTGGTATGATGATCTGTTACTTGTCACTTTGATCTTTTGTACCAAGAAATTATAGTAAGCTCATGATAATAGCTAACACTCTTCTGGTGGCTTTTATAAAATAACTCATTTAATCCCTATGAGGAGGGCACAGTTAGGCCCAATTATAGATGAGGAAGCCAAGCTACAAAGAGGTCCCACAGTTAATAAAAGGTGGAGCCAGGATTGAAGCTCAGAGACTGTGATCTCATCGGTACTCTAAGTAGTCAGTAAATGTGGCAGGATATACTGGCATCTGCTTTCAGTGTGATCTGATGTGATAATTCCAGAATCACACTAAGTGATAACATTTATGTTATGTGAAAATAACTCTTTGCTTAGTGTATGGCTGGCTTGTGCTTTTTTCATGTGGTGGGATATTTATTAGGGGACACTCATGCTTAGCTTTGGTCAGAAAATATCTGGCACTAATGAAGTTGTCCGTGTGTGTGTGTGTTTCAGGTCTGGGCTGCAGTTCCTCCTTGGAAGCAAGGCACACTCTCAGAGTTTGTTGTAGTCAGCGGGAACGAGGTAACTCACCAACTCTACCGAAATGCCAAAGGAAGGTTAAATAAAGACTGGCAAATGTCTGTAAAATAACTGGTTGTTTTTCATATCAGGTTCATGTTTGATGGGCAGTGTTAAAACAGCCAAGATAGAGAATAGGAACTTTTGAGAGACTGAAAAAGTATTTGGTGTCATTTAATAACGCTGCCTGTTAAAGTAATTGACTTTGTCTCGTGGATTTGGAATGAGATCTAGAATTCTGCTGTGTTTCTTAGTTTTACCCGGATAAATAGTTGAAACCAAATGTGCTCAGTGGAGAGTACAGACTCGTCACCAAGGGAGACAAGAAAGTGTTAGGCTATTTTGAATAACTTTAAGAACAGGAGTCTAAACACAGCCAGTCAGGAGACCTGACAATTTGAATAGAGAGAAAGGGTTAACATTGAGGAAACTGGGGCTGCAGGAGAGGAAAGGGCTGTTACTGAGATTAGAGGAAGCCAAAAGATTACTTTCCACAACATGAGAGTAAAAAAACCAGCTGATCTCAAAAACAAATTAGAAAGTGTTATGAGGGTTCAATGTTTACTTGGAGGTGCGGTGGCTCATACCTGTAATCCCAGTACTTTAGGAGGCTGAGGGGGGGAGGGTTGCCTGAACCGAGTTCAAGACCAGTCTGGGCATCTTATGTAGAACTGAGACCTCATCTCTAAAGAAAAATTTAAAAAGTTAGCCAGGTATGATGGCCTGTAGTCCTAGCTACTCAGGAGGCTGAGGCGGAAGAATCGCCTGAGCCCAGGAGGTCGAGGCTGTGGTGATTGATGATCATGCCACTGCACTCCAGCCTAGGCAGCAGAGTAGGACCCTGACTTCAAAAAAAAAAAAAAAAAAAAAGATGTATTTGGATACTGTCAAAACTAATGGGATTATTGATGTGGTCTTTTTATAAACTGAAATAGCTACATATGATAATGTAGCTTACATAACATTACTGAACCTCTGTGAGGAAGTAGAACCATTTGGAGAGTATTCCATAGGGGTAATCTTGGAGTAGGGTATGCAGTTAACACTGAACTGGAAGAATTTTATAGATTTATCTATGAAAGTGCAGTTGACCTTGAATAACACAGAGGTTAGGGTGCTTCCCCTGTGCAGTTGAAAATCCACATGGCTGGACTCGGTGACTCAGCCTGTAATCCCAGCACTTTGGGAGGCTGACGCCAGTAGATTGCCTGAGCCTGCGGGTTTGAGACCCCCTCCAGCAACTTGGCGAGACCTTGTCTCTACAGTAAATAAAAAAAAAAAAAAATAAGCTGGGTGTGGTAGTGCACGCCTGTAGTTCCGGTTACTTGGAAGGCTGAGGCGGAAGGATCGCCGGAGCCCAGCAGGTCGAGGCTGCAGTGGCCAGGAGTGTGCCACTGCACTCCAGTCTGAGCAACAGAGTGAGACTCCAACTCAAAAAAAAAAAAGGAAAGAAAATCCACGTAAAACTGCTGTGTTTCTTGGTTTTGTCCAGGATAAATAGTCGAAACCAAATATACTCAATGGAGAGTACAAATTTGTCATCAAGGGAGATGAGAGAGGGTCGAACTATTAGGTTGGTGCCTAAGTAATTGTGGTTTCGGACCATGAATTTTAAATAATTATAATTAGGCTCAAACACATCCTTATTAATCAAAGTAGGAACCATTACAATCAGCACATTTTTGCCAATGAGAAATAAGTTTGTTTATTCTTGTAGCATAAAAATTCATGCTTTGGGATTCAACAAACTCTTGGGAAAGTATTTTCTGCATCCTGCTGGTTATGGAAGTGTTTTCCCTGCAAAAATTTGTCGAGATGCTGGAAGAAGTGATGGTCGGTTAGCAAGAGGTCAGGTGAATGTGGCGGGTGAGGCAGACCTTTGTAGCCCAGTTTATTCAACTTTGAAGCATTAGTTGTGTGATGGGTGGTGTCGTGGAGAAGAACTGGATCCTTTCTGTTGACCAATGCCGGTTGCAAGCGTCGCAGTTTTCGGTGCATCTCATCACTGTGCTGAACATACTTCTCAGATGTCATGGTTTCTCTAGAACTCAGAAAACTGTTGTGGACTAGGCAGACCACCAAACATGACCTTTTTTTTGCTGGAAATTTGGCTTTGGGAAGTGCTTTGGAGCTGCTTCTTGGTCCAACCACTGAGCTAGTCATTGCCAGCTGTCGTATGAAATCTACTTTTTGTCACGTCACAATCCAATCGAGAAATGGTTCATTGTTGTATAGAATTAAGAGAAGACGACACTTCAAAATGACAATTTTTTTGATTTTCGGACAGCTCATGAGGCACCCACTTATCGAACTTTTTCACCTTTCCAATTTTCTCCAAAGAATTCATAGAATTCAACAGTGAGCTCTTTGGCAAGAGGATCATCTTCGATGGTCGCTCTCATTTGGTCATTGTCAACTTCTGATGGCCAGCCACTATGTTCCTCGTTTTCAAGTCTCTCGTCTCCTTTGGAAAACTTATTGAACCACGACTGCACTGTATCTTTATTAGCTGTTCCTTGGTCAAATGCATTGTTGATGTTGCAGTTGTCTCTGCTGCTTTACGACCCATTTTGAACTCGAATAAGAAAATCGCTCAAATTTGCTGTGTCTAACATCACTTCCATAGTCTAAAAAAAATTTTTTATTGCAAGTAATAAGTCATTAGTAAAAAAAAAAGCGAGAAATGTGCGTTAAAATGATTATAACATAGCAACATTTACTAAGAGTGTAGTCCAATATCAAATGGCAAATTTCAACTTGTGAAAAACTGCAGTTACGTTTGCACCAACCTAATGTTTTCAAGAACTTTAAGAATGGGAGTCTAATCACAGCCAGTCAGGAGATCTGACAACTTGAGTAGAACAAAAGGGTTAACATTGAGGAAACTGGCTGCAGAAGGGAGGGCAGGAAGGGAAAGGGGTGACTCCCTAAAAACATAGCTTCTAGTAGCCTACTGTTGACTGGCTGTCTTAACAATAACATAATCAATTAGCACATATTTTTAATGTATGTTATGTACTGTATTATAATAAAATAAGCGGGAGAAAAGAATTTTATTCAGAAAATCGTAAGTAGAAAAATATATCTGCTGTTCATTAAGGATCATCATAAAAGTCTTTATCAACTCTTTGTCTTCATACCAAGTAGGCGGAGGAGGGGAAGAGAAAGGGTTGGTCTGCTGACTTAGATGTGGCAGAGGCAGAAGAAAGTCCACAGCACATAAGTGGGCCCGTGCAGTTCACACCCAGGTTGTTCAAGGGTCAACTGCAGTTGGATTCCTATGAAGGAAAATGTGCTTTGTTGTGTTCATAGGATTGCAAGTCCTTGCTTATTTTTGACTGCTGTCTTCAAATCTAGGTCTCTCACAAGCCCAGATCACTCACTCATACTCAAGCTGCCTCTTTGCCATATGTGGCTCTCACAGCCTGGTCTGCCATAAGCAAGGTTGGCGGCCTGAATGACAAGAATTGCATGGGAAAACGGTGAGTGTCTCACTGGGGCATCTCCATGTCCCTTATTTCCTCCTATAAGTTCTTTGCAGTAGATTTGTCGGAGCATTGAAACTGAGGCTCATTTACCTGAGCAGAGCTGTGCTAACATTTGAAAACAATTTCCAGAGTCAGTTTGTACTTTATTAACTTCATTCTATTGATTCTTAGCTCAGTCAATTGGGAATTTTTAAGGTGAGTTGTGTAGATGGTCTTTAGGAGTGTGACCCTTCTAAAACAATGCAAAATTTTATATGTAAATCTCTTGGAAGAAGATCTGTGTATTTTATCAGATTCCTAAAAAGGTTAAGAATCACTCCATATAGTTTCTAAAGAATGGTGTCAAGATCAAGGTGGTTTTTTTTCCCCCTACTCCTACCAGAGTTGCTCTCACACTTGCATGTGTCTATGGAAACCAAATATAAAAGGACTAAAATACACTGTTGAATATTGGTGAGTTCTCTTGGGCTCAGTGCTTGATATCCTTTAGGTCAGTTCTGATTCACCAGCACCTTGAACAACACAGCAACCAAGAATGTCTCAGACACGTTTGTGTTCATATCTAGATTCGGCTACTTTCCAGCTGGGCGACCCACTCACTCACTTCTTAATGAATTTTCTTTTGAAGGTTAAATGAGACAACACACCTCAAACAGATGTTACAGGTTATGGCTTTGGGAGGCACTCAGTAAATGGTGGCTACTATTACTAGCAAGGAGATGATCGTGTTCTTTGTATTTTAGAAAGTAGACATCATAGAGAAAACTCATGATTTTGTTTTTTGGTAAGAAAATTAGGTACTAAGATAAGAATTGTTTAATGGTTATGAGGAAAGAGAGCTATAGGTCAAATAATAATAAATTAAAATAACCTAGTTTTCTTATTACTAAGGATTGTGTGGGTAAAATAACTAAAGACTATGTCATTCTGTACTGTTGTTATGAAACATTGTAGGTGCTAATGTGCTGGATGACAGATCATTACATTTAGTGAAGGTTTACTAGCTGCATTTCTGGAAGCATTGTGAGGGCTATTCATCTAATAAGGTGCTACTCCTTATCTTAGAATTCAAGGCGAACATTTATTCTAAAGGTCAACCTGGTTTATTTTTTAAACTGTTGTGTCATGTCTTTCTTGAAGTTGCCATTTTGGTCAACTTTGTTTAAATTTAATCAGTTTTGACCATATAAATTTTTCTAATGGTTTATCTCAGTTAATAAGTTTGCAAAAATCTTAAGATTTTTAGACCTTTATTATTGTAGGCTCTGTACCAATGTTTATGTTTTATTATTTTCTTTTGTGCCCTCCCTCCCCACCTTAAAAACACAAGGTTCTCTGTGTCTGCATGACTATATGTGCACTATTGCTAGAGAGCTCTCATTTCTTTTTCTGGTTCAGGGCTCTCTGGACATCCTTTTAATATACTATAAAAAACAATTTGGAGACAAAGATCTGTCACTCCTCAGACACATGGGTGTGAGCCTCCAGTTTATTGTTGGCTTCTGGGTGATTCTCTGGTATACTGTTACCTGTGTAAGCAACAGTGTAAGCAACAATGGCCTAGAACTGAGAAATCGGAGCCCAGGGTCCTGCTCTCCACTCTGCCATTAACTAACCTGGTGACCACATGCTGTTTATTTATGGTCTCTTCTTCAGTTTCCTCTGAATTAATGACTACAGGACAGTGGGTTGTGAGGAAAACTTTGAGAAGCGGAAAGTTTTACACCTTATTAGGCAATTATATATTATATTGAGTTGGTTGTGTTCATTGATTTAGCCACGTATTAACCAAACTAAAGTGAAACCCATTGTAAAAAGTCACAGTAATCAACCTCATGGACTTCTGCCACGTCCCCATGTTATAGTGACCGACAAGATGCATTTGTCCTGAGCCACAGTGAGACCTTGGTGTCTTAGTCTGTTCAGTCTGCTATAACAAAATACCATAAACTGGTGGCTTGCAAACAATGGATATGTATTGCTTACAGTTGTGGAAGCTGGGAAGCCCAAGATCAAGGTGCTGACAGGTACAATGTCTGGTATGTGACAATGTTCTGATTCTTCTTAGTGCCTTGTCACTTCTCTGCATATGCTGGAAGGGGTGAGGTCTCTCTGAGGTCTCTTTCATAAAGCACTAATCTCATTCATGAGGGCTCTGCTCACATGACCTAATTACCTCCCAAAGGCCCTACCTCCTAATGGCATCACCTTGGGGATGAGGATTGCAGCATGAGAATTTTGTTGTGACAGACGTTACAAACGTTCAGAGCATAGCACTAGGTGCTCTCAGAAATTGCGGTTTACTGAAATTACTACACATGAATTACCTCTTTAACTACTTATTTGTGAGAATCACACTAGAGTACCTTAAAATAATGTAAAAATACTTTGAATGAATACTTCATATGATGAGATTTTTATTAAGCTTAAACTCAGAGATTCCAAATGTCCAAAGTGGATTTTCCAGTTGGACTATTCATGTGATTGATGGAGCATCTCTTGGCTTCTCTAAGCAATAATAATTCTTCTTCTGCTAGCTTTTGGCATTAAGGCTTGGTTTGCACAAAGTGGGTTGGTGTTTGTTATCAAAGACTATCAGTTTGTTTTTTCTAACCAGTTAATTTAAAAAACAAAACCAACAATGACAAAAACACCTATGAGCACCTTGGAAGAGTTAAGGATTTCTTTATAACAAACAGCTTTTTTGAAGTGAGGATGAATCTCTTTAAGGGTTGATGGCGGTTACCTTTTTCTTCTTTGTTCTGTAATTTTACTTTAGAGCATCGGGGAACCAAGGGGATAATTTAATCTCGATGTCATGTAATATTGCCATTTTGTCACACTGATATCACTAGAAGATGTCAAGTGAAATCATTTCTTTATCATCAGCCCATCCATAGTTTCTTTATGACTTATTCAGTAGGGCTCTCGAGAGGAGTAGAATTTTTTTTAAGTTGTTATACCAGATATTTTTTTAAATATGGTATGATCTGATGGTTTTATGTATTGGTACTATCATGGGTATACTTGAATGTTTTATGCTGTACCTGGAATTCATCTCTTGCTGGGAAAGTTGTACTTCACTCTGTTTGACAGAAGTATTAGAAAGCATTAGAAATTGAATTATTCCTCCTCTACAAAATAAATTTTGGTTTTAAATTGCATACACTTGAAACTCAATGAAGTGAATTTAGGAACACTTTACTTTTTTTTGAGATTAGGCTTTATGGCAGTAAAATTTTGTCATATAGTCGTCTGTTTAATTCTGTTTATAGAATTAGGCTCAAACTTAAATCGTTGGATTTACACCCCACCGGCATGCTTACATTGAAATTAAAATGACTGCCTGAGCCGGCTCAGTGGCTCAGCCTGTAATCCCGCGCCTTTGGGAGACTGAGGTGAGTGGATTGCCTGAGCCCGCGGGTTCGAGACCCGCCTGGGCAGCGAGACCTCATCTCTACAGTAAATCAAAAAATCAGCGGTCCTGGTAGCGCACGCCTGTAGTTCCGGCTACTCGGAAGTCTGAGGCGGAAGGATCGCCGGAGCCCAGCAGGTCGAGGCTGCGGCGGCCGGGAGTGGCCACTGCACTCCAGTCTGGGCGCCAGAGTGAGACTCCAACTCAAAAAAAAAAAAAAAAAAATGACTGCCTGATCATACCAGATGCCTTCCATGGCCTGTCCTTCCCCCTGCCACCCACTGTCTCTCTCCACGCCCACCACCCCTGTGGACTTCACGTTCTTACTTGCGTCTGATGAGTTGTATGATTAGACAGTAGGGGAAGAAGAAGAATGCTCTTTACTAACCTGAAGAAAGCTTGGGGTTGGGAGCTGAGAGGGAAGGTGAAGCTGTGGCCTGGCCATTGTGATACAAATGAATCTTCCTCCGAACCACGGCCTGTTTTCCAGGGAGCCCCAGGAGGGCTCAGTTAAGGAATAGTTGAAACCTCACTCCTTGCAATTTGTGTTTTACACAGTAGCTTTCTCAGCAACTGAGGTAACTACCTTGTGCTGTTTAGAAATCATTTGCCCTTCTTTGCACTGTAGCTTCCAGACTTGCCTTTTAACCACGGCTGCCTACACAGAGGTCATAGCTGCCTAAGTTATGACCAATGACACTTTTCAGTTCTTATTTTAAATTGACCTCTCTGAAGGATCTGGCACTGTTGATCACTTCCTTATTACGCACTTTTTCTTTTTTTTTTTTTGAGTTGTAGTCTCACTCTGTTGCCCAGGCTAGAGTGCAGTGGCACACTCACAGCCACCACAGCCTCTATCTGCTGGGCTCAGGCAACCCTTGTACCTTAGCCTTCCAGGTAGCTGGATCTACGGGCATGCACCACCACGCCCAGCTAATTTTTTGATTTATTGTAGAGATGAGATCTCACCAAGTTGCCCAGGCTGGTCTTGAACCCATGGGCTCAGGGAATCCTCTCACCTCAGCCTCCCAAAGTGCTGGGATTATAGGCGTGAGCCACTGCCCGGCCATTATGTACTATGCTTTCAGGTTCATTAGGCCCCTGTGTTTTTTGAAAGGTGGTACCTATAGAAACCTAGAAGAAACTTAGCTTATTCTTAGTTTAGTCTTTTTGCCTCAGCATAACCATTAGAAAGCATTCAGACATTCTACTGCAGGACAAGCGGCAGCCTATCCCATCCCCCCTTGGCAAATCTCCATCAGATGTAAGACCAGGACAGCCCAACCTTTCAATTAATAATTTAACATAATAATGTCTAGTAAACTTTTAGTTTCCTTGTCAAGGCAGAAGGTCAAAGATCACCCTTTGGCTGGCCAAAGTCATGTAAGTAATAATATATCCACCTTTGGTCAAGTAGTTCATGAATTGCAAATGTCTAACAAGTCTCTTGCAGGAAACCTCCCCCCCGCAGGCCCAGACTCTCCAAGTTAACCTAATCACCCCTTCGTGACCTACATGACACAGATAAACCCCACCATGGCAGCAATCCTGTGACTAACCCACCCATTTGCCTGCCGTC